TTTGGTGATATCCCGCCTTAAGGTCCAACGTGCTAAAGACCACGGCTCCACTCAACCTATCCAGTATATCTTCGAATCTGGGGATCGGGTACTTCTCGTCTACCGTGTTATCGTTCAATTTACGATAGTCTACTACCACCCTGTATTTTTCCTTATTATCCCCCGGTGCTGCCTTCTTCTTCACCGCCCACAGGGGACTATTGAATGGTGAGGTGCTATCAACTATGATCCCTTGTTCTTTTAGACTATCTAGCTCCTCTCGAATATGCTGCCTCAACGCCTGCGGGTATCTTCTCTCTTTCACGTAAGTTACCCTATCCTGCTTCAGTGGGATTTCATGTACCGTCCTCCCTGTTACCCCTAATACCTCACCTTCCCTGAAGAAAATGTCCCTAAACTCCTCCTGTAGCAACTTCCTCCAGTCCTCCACTCTGTTCACCGCCCCTATCCGCACCCTTCTTTCTCTCGCGACCCCTATACATCCGAACTTCTTCTTTCCCAACCTAACACTCCAGGCTCCTCTACGATTCCTAATGCTCGCCCCTACCTGCCCCAACAAATCGCACCCCACTATGACCTGGTATTCCCGAGTCATGTTTTTTACTACGTGTACCTTCAGTTCGCCCTCTTTTCCTGCCCACCGATCAAGTCTTATTGTCGCTTCCCCCTCTACGCTACAGGGGCCACCCAGAGTGATTAGTTGGCAATCGCATTTTTGGATCCGGAGTGCCCTCTCACTCCCGCACACTTTCCCTAACGCCCCTCTGGTCATAATAGTGCTCGAGCTCCCGGTATCCACGAGGCACTTTACTCCCCCGTCTACCTCGATAATTGGCAACCAGCATGGCTTACCTCGGATGTTGTTGCATGTTGCTGTGCGGTCGCCTCTCTGCTGCCACACTCCTCAGATGCCGCCCAGCTTCCTCCTCCCCGCCGCCGTTCGTCGCTGCTCGGTCCGTTGGCTGCTCCTGCCTCCTTCGCCTCCACTGCTACCTGGTTCGTCCGTCTCTGTCCCCGAAGTTCCCGACTCCTCGGTTGCCTCTCCCGAAGATCCGTCCTTCCGCTGTATCCTAGCCCGTCTTGTCAGCTTCTGCGTGTTTACTTCCATGGGCTCGTCTTGAGTTCTTTCTCTCCTCCGGAATATGTACGGGCACTGCCTAGCAATATGCCCTTCGGTACCGCACTCGAAACATCTAGTGCGCGGACATTGTGCAACTAAATGTCCTGGCTTTCCGCACCCATGACATTTCCTGTCTTCCCTGCGGGGTCCATTCCTCGGCCTCACTTGTCCGGATCTTTTTTCACCCATCCTGACCTTTTCTCCGCTCGGCTGTACCGTTTCTCTCCTCTTCCAACCCATCGGGGCTGTCCGGGGTCGTCTGTCATTCACCCGGATCCACCCTGGTTCTTCCACGTCCATCCGAGTCTCTTCTTCCCTTGCGCTTAGGTCGATCATTTCCTGGGCACACTCGAGGAATGATCTCTCCCTGGGCAATCCGTCTCTCCTTCCCGTTTCCTTCGCCAACTGGACCTTGAGTATCGTCGAGAGGAACTCCATCCTGGCTTCCACCTCTCCCACACTCATTGTTTCGCGCATTTTCTCCGTTATGCGGTTGTACTTTGCCACTAGTACCCCCGCATACTGGCCCCTCGTCTGACGTTGGGACCGGCGCTCCCTAAACATTTGGAAGATGTCTTCCTCCGGCGTCCATCTGCCTCCTCCGAAGGCCTTCTTCAGTCGCTCCTTAATCACCGGCCATGGTGTCTCCTCATCCGCCTGAATTTGGTTCAGGATGCTCCTCCTTACTCGGCACACCAGAGCCGCTTTCAACGCTTCCGCGTCCCCTAGGTTTACCAGGTCCTCCGCCACCTTTACCTCTATTCTAGACATGAGGCGGTCTCCGCCTTTCAGGAAATGGTTGAGCTCACCTACCTCGCCACCGAAGCGTTCCAGGTCCGCAATGGCTCTTCGAAGGTCCTGCGTGGTCGCCGCTCTTATTTTCATCCATTCCAGCGCGTTAGCGTGCGCTTCTGCCAATGTGTCCCTCGGTAAGGGAGGGATCTCCTGGATCTGCGGAATCTGCGGTACCTGAGGGGCCTGCGCGATCTGAGGTATCTGCGGAATTTCTTGAGGTTGAGGGATTTCCGGGGCGCTCAACACTCCCGGCCTGATTAAGCCCTCTGTTGGCATTTCACTCTTTCCTTATGACTAGGAGAAGAAAAAAAAACCAAGAGAAAAAAAATGACTTTAAAAAAAAATTACTTCTCTGTTCTCCTGTCGTAGTCCCGGGTTTCGGCACCAGTTAAGCGTCGGCGGACTCTAACAATAAAAAAAAAAGAAAGGAAAGGGCTTGAAATGCAACACTCACGGTTTCAGAAAAGATACTAATTTATTCCTTTAGTAATCCTCCTTATATACATTTCATATGTTTATTTACATTCAGGACGGTATTAAGGCTGATATCGCCGGTCTCCGGTCTTTATCTTATATATATATATATATATATATATATATATATGAACAAGATGAACATATATATATGTATATATAACACTTTTTTTTATATTTGTGCTTCTTAAAATTAATGTGAGCGAATTGCTAAAAATAATTCAATAGCGAAGATAAAATAATATTAGGTCTGACCAGAAACATCCAAAATTAAGTGTTTCATAATTTTCTGATTATGATTGAAGTAGTACACTTAAGTAATCTCTCATCCAGTTGTTTTTCAGTCGCCCACATAACTTAGCAAAAACAAAAACAAAAAAAAAATGCTAACTCTTAAATCAAATTACGTGAGTCCATGAGCAGCAACCAACTGCTGCTTCGTGTGTCATTTTGTAATATATTAATTTATTTCGAATTCAACATGATAAGAGAATTTTCGGACTAATTAATAAAGAGAATCATACGTAACGTTTAACCTTGCTCAATAATTGTTCAGAACCATCATTTACTTTTATCTGATGTTGGTTGCCTTCAGTGGGTCAGGTACCCGAAAAAGGTTCGAGAATCTTCAACTGGTTTGTCCACTTGTCCAGTTTTTTGTATTTCAGACGCATAAGTTTTGGCACAGGTGAATTCAGTTCTTTCATTATTGCGAGAAACATAACAAAACGTGCTTAAATTTCATGCCACTCTAAGAATGACATTATCCTGATATTGTCACTGTTCTGCTTCTTTTCCTAACTTCTCTACACAGACATAATATCTATGAGTGGGAAATATGGTTGTGTATATACAAGACTTACATATGTGACTCAATGTGCTCCATAATGGGCCTGCCCATTTTGTCAATGACGATTTCACTATTACAACATAATTCGCAGAGCTGCTAAAGCAACTGTCATTTACATACAAAACAATTTATTCAGCATAGAGTCCATTGAAGCACTTACCCCCTACGGCCTCCTTGTACCTGTCTAATAAATAAACGAACGACATGCATGAATTTAAATAAATATATCCCAGTGCTGTGTTGTTCTTGGGCGTGAATATATACATAACATATTCAGCTAATGATTGAACTGCACCTTTTACTCTCATTTTCATTGACTTTGATTTCCAAGTCCGATCTATACATTTAAGAACCTTTAAATCAAGAAATACTTATACTACGACTATTTATAAGACCGTTGTTACATTGGATCCGACACGATACGACGGCTCAACCATTCAATTCAAAAACATAACCGTTCATTCCTCCTTTAATATTTACCATCCATTTAATTGCATTATATTCATCCAATATACATAAAAAATAATATTTAATTCCTTTAATTGTTAATTAATTAATAAGTATTAATTATGGTATTATTTATTCGATAAGTAATTCAAAATACAGTAAAACATTACAATAATAATTATTTTATACTACCCTTGGCTTTCGAGCAATTAATAATTATAAAAAAACAAAGGTTTACTTTTTATTTTCATAAAATTTTTGTAATAAAATAAAAATAGAAGATTTCCGTATTATTATTTTTGTTTGTTTAACATGAATTAGGAGAATACCACAAGTGGTATGGAACAGGGCTTGAAATAGAAACTTAACTTTATTTTTTAATCAGTTTCGATAAGATTAATTTTTCTAAGTAAATAAATAAATAAAAGTTTAATTTTTGCACTAAACAGAAAAAGATATTTAGGACTTTTTTCTTCTTCTTCTTCCCTATCTATTCTTTTAGGCTATACGGGATTTTCCCGGGTCCGAGGGTGACGGCGGGGAATTTAAAATCCCCTCCGGCACCGGTAAGTGGCTCCACCCGATAGATATTTAGGACTTGTATTTTTTTTTTAAAAATTTATTAAAAATTTCCGATAAAACGTAACAATGGAACTTTAAAATATATATATAAAAGTTGCAACCTCTGTTACAGAATTTCTATACAGTGGCCACTCTCAGCCTAGGAGCCAGAATTACATTACGACCAATATCCATCCAACCTATGCCTGAAAAATACGTTTTTATTACAGAAATCACATGTTATATTCCGAATATCATAAATGTATCGTTCAGCATGCACAGCTCTAATAATTTTTTTATCTATATCATAAAATTGATACGAGGCAATTTATATTTAAGGGACACTTAAATAGAAAGGTTCTTCATAATTTTATTCATGTGTAGTTTCAACTGAATAAAATCACTATCTACTAAAACAAATTTTAAATTAAATTTGTAGTAAAAAGCGTATAATTTTCCGTAGACATAAAATAAATATTTTGCCAGGTAGTAGAGATGTTGTAATTAAAATAAATCCGGATGAGGAGGCTAAAATGAGATAGCATTTAAACGAAAGTAGACAATTAAATAAATAATTTATTCATTGAAGAGGTGAAGAAGGAGAGAGATAAGGGTAACGAGATCTCCGACATAAACTAGCTTGGCCACCTGCACCTCCTCCCTCCCTCACTCTAATTTAATTATACCTCTGTTCTCTCGCCCTATTTCTTTTCCCTTTCTTTCCTCATGTCATTACTTTTTCTGATGTAAGTGATGTGTGTTGTCTTATCCTCTCCTGCCAGGTAACAGAGTTAAAAATTAAGAATAAAAAAATAGTGTGATACGTATATTAGGAAAGCATTATAAAAAAAAATATATTGAATTTTTTAAAATATTTTTTTCAACATTGAAAATATATATATTTTTTACTAAGATTATTTGTATTTATTTATTTTTCTCACTTTCTTGCCTTCCGGCATATTGCCGTCGACAACATTTCAGGTCTGGAAAATGTTGCCTACTAAAACCTTGAAGTTCTTCTAACGTCTAAATCATGTCTTCGTCTTCCGACAGTCTTCTTCGTCTCTTCTTTTCGGTGGTCTCCTAGAAAATATTCTTCTTCTTTCCAAGTTAAAATTACTATGGCAAACTACATTTTTCTACTTTTGCTTCAAAATGAATAATTACAGCCTTTTTGTAGTCAAGTTTAGTTTGGCACAGCTTTTTTTTATTATTTATTTTTTATTTCGTTTTTTGCAATTATAGAAGAAATCATTTTACATAACTCTAAACATTTGCAACTAAATCAACCATTGAAATTTTTAAGGCGAAACGAGTACTGTGATATAATTAACAGTTGTAATATTCAATAAATTCTAATTATCTATCACACAGAACTTTGTATTCTTTAATATTACAACTTAATAAGATTTTTCACTTACCAAATTTTCAGATCGTTAAAAATTTTTGCTAAAGACAGTTAAAAAATTAGATAACAGAGGCGAATCCAAAAACTGTCCCTAGTATGGTGCACAAAACGAAACAGAAAATCGTTGTATTTCTTTATTATATTACACGTGATCCAAACAACAGTCAACGATTTTAAATAATACTGACAATAATATAATCTTTACATTACAATAATTGTTTCTTCGGTTCATTTGAGATTTTTTCTTCTTTTCATTTAGGAGGAGTGAGTTTCGAAATAAGACTCTACTGGCTACTTATTTAAATTATATAAACAGCAAAACATCGTATTTATGATACCAATGTTTCTGCTCCAAATGTATACTGAAAATTTATGTAATTGATGAAAATTGTAATTCACATGTAAATTAAGACGCATTAGTTTTTATGTTGTCTAATTAAGTCCTTGAAAAAGTTCTAGTTATCCATATGAATCCAACGAAATGCAATAAATCAATACAGTTTACATATGCAGATGATATCGTTTTTATCTTTCTGTGTACTATAAAAAACTTACTTGACCTTAGCGAGCTGGTCGATTGATCAATCTTAGAATTGATGAGCATTAGACCAAACTTATACCTATTGTATCATTAAGGCGACACATCGATTGAAGGAGTTGTAGAGTTTGGCAACTTCAAGTTCCAGAAGGTAGATCAGTATATGTAACTAGTTCTAATATATTGTTGCAAACACCTCATAAGCCGGTATATCGTATGAAGAATTAAGTTATTGCTCTACAAACCACTGATAAAGTCACATGAGTGCTGCAAAGGTCAAAGAGATGTTAAAATCTCACATTTGAACGAAATATTATCAACTGACTATTTTGTAGTTTCTAGGTTTCTGAAAACTGGAGAAGGCGGAACTTTTTTTATAATTTTCTTCTTCTTATCGAATAATCAAGACACCCTGAAAAGTTTCTTGTATTGAAATTAGCAGGCCTAAAACATAGGTGGAGAACCTTTTTATCATTATATGCCTCAGTAAGGGTACGTAATGTTAATGGAGGCCACAACAATTTTTGATATTTTACTGATATTGTTTTTATTTATCACTAAATGCACACACCCATGTACCTATATCCAATTTTATTTTCTTAATTTTAAAATTTTCGAAACCTAAATAATTAAATACTGATTAATTCTACATTAATGAATATCGCGCAAAAATGTTTGGTAGCCGTAGGTTCCCCACCTCTGGCTTAGACTCCAGTAGTAGGAATATTGTGACCAAAAAATGCTAGAATTTCATTGAAAGTAAGAAACTTGAGAACAGTGGTAAAAGACCAATCAACTTGGAAGCAATGTTTTTTTTTTCAATAAATAAAAAAAAAAATGTTACTATTCTTTGTTGTTGATTTAAATAATACCATTATCATCTCAATATATTATAAACTCAAAATAATTTTTGAGTTTATAATGCAATAACAACAAAAACGGTAATCCGCATGATGATTATAAAATGAATCATTCGGTTTCGTAAGTAGGAGATATGTTTGCTGGCTTTTTAGTGTTATCACTTTTCACTGTTTTATCATTTCGCTATTCATTATTCCGAAAAACTTAGCGTTCGTCGAAATGATGAAGTTCCTGCTTGATCCTAGTATTTCCCAGTATCCCCTTCCTCTGGAACTTCCTCCTCTCAGCAGTGCTATCTCCACTTATTTCACATCCTCGGAGGGTGTAAAGCTCCCTCAATAGATAAGTCTGTTAATTTTTATTGTACAGAACATCTATTATATAATAAAAATCATTATAAAATGGAGTATATAAGAAAAATCATCTATACCGCGATACCCTTTGACGATCATTTTTCTTCGTTGTAGCGACGAACTGTTTCGTTAATAGTAATTATTTTAGTCGTTTTACAGAGAAAGCTTTTTTCTAACATACTATGTTGTGCTTAGTGTCTTGATATAATAAAACTATCAATATCTTGATGATAAAATAAATTATGGTTTCTGCCGTTTAACATTTACAATGTTTTTTTTAGAATAATGATTTCTTCATATTTTGTAATCTTTCTAGTCTTACTTACGTTCCTTAGAATAATGATCTTATAGTTTTTGAAATATATTATCTAGTTCTAAAGGGGGTGCATCAACTAATGTTTCTTGAAATAATATATTATTACACATGTTAATTTTGTTTTTAATATTACAAAAAAAAAAATTATTGGTTCATTAACAATAAGCAATCTTTTTATCCCACACCTCCATATAAAAAGTTCTTTTCTGAACTTCTTTTTTTTTTTTTTGAATTATGTTATACAGCAAATGTATCGGTAATTCGATTGGTTTAGCTCAGGGATCTCCAAGTTACTGCAAGCACCTTCAATCCGACCCGATAACGTTTCTAAGATTACCTGGTAAAATTTTAAAAACTATTTAAAAATATAAAATTAAAAAAATTATTTACACACGGGGTTAATCCAACATTTATTGAGCGGTTTTTTTTTCTTAGAAAGCTCATTTCATAGCTGATGTGTGATTAATAGAACAAGATTTTTATCTCAATACTTATTCGAGATCCCAATATGGCCCGCGGAACAAAAGGTTTGGAGACCGCTGGTTTAGCTAGATATATTATAAAAAGGGTAACAAACAGTTTTATAAGAATTATATTATCAGAAAGAACAAAAAAAAAAAAAAAAAAACGAATCTATAAGAAGAGACTTCGTCCATTTGAGTGGAATAACGATACCTTTCCTGGGTTATAGTCTCCAAAATCTCTTAGCTTTATAATGATTTTTATTATTTAATATTGATTTCCAATATAGATAGTTGCTATTGAGAGCTATTGCCCATTGAACCCTAACCTTCGTGCCCTATAAATCACTTGAGACGGAAGTTGAGGAATAACATATTAATCTTGGATAGACCGATATCAGAGGTTGGCCGAGGATCCTGGAGGTGGGATTTGGCAAGGCTTCGGCCTCTCCAGGTTCTTTTGGCAACCTTCCACAGCCCTGCCGGTGATGTCTGTCTGCATACTGCCCTAACACACGGCTTCCAATATCCAAGGCGGTTTCACAATCAACCGTTTATCAGTGACTATGAATTTATTTTTCTTTACATAACTTTTTCTGCAAACTCTGCATTCATCAATATTACTATTGATAGAGTACTTTCTATATTCAATAACTATTTATAGGAGAATATGAGCAATTAAAAAAAAAAACCTATTACATGTATAATTTCTACAAAGCTGAATAGTCAATTAAATCTGACCGGAATATTCGCAGTTATTATTAGCTGACTAAGAAAAATGGCACGAGGATTCTGTGTGAGAGTTGGCCGCTAAAAGCTATATAAATTTTTTGAGCCAAACTGTTGGATCAACTTTTAAGTTTGCGACACAAGGGTTATGTATTTGGGTTGTTCACTAAAAGGAATGTAACAATTTTACTAAGCGAACTGCTGATCAATTTTTAACTTTGAAGTTCTGTAATTACTAGTGAATTCTCATGAATGTTTTGAATCAATTTGAGTACAAATACTGAGGGAAAATGTATATAGTTTAATTATCTCGATTATTTATTGGTTTGTTTAATTTATTAAAATAATTTAAATAACAAATATTCTAATAAAAAAAAAAACGAATACCCAAATAACTCCGTCTTAAGAGATGAAAATTGCTGTATATATCTCCTTAAAAATTAATTAGGTATTAGTTATTGTCTATGAGTATTGAAACTTGGTGAAGTATTCAGGTGCCTTCCACAACACACTACAGCTATTTCCTTTCCATGCATCTGTGCACATCAATATTCAGTAAGCTCCAAAAATCGTTTGTTGTGTAATCACATGGAAGTTATATTAATGTATTGTTCGAATAGTTTAGAGTTCGTGAGGGTTTGGATAGGACCAGACTACTTCACCAAGTTTCAGTATCCATAGACTATATCTAACTACCAACTCATATTTTAATGGGGATAGTCATAATTTGTTGTCCCTTAAGATGGCTAGAGTTCTTAGCTTAATCAGTTTTTTTTTTATCAAAATATTATTTTGAAGTAATAAACCTGCTAAAAGATCTGAAGCTTTTTGAGGTAGGTTTTCTTTAGTTAATGTTAGCAAACCAATCCTCCGCTGCTTTTTCAAATGAGATTACGAATTGGCAAAACAACAAGAAGCTAGAAAAAATGGTGAAGTTTAACGAATGGGCTATTTATACTAATGGAGTGTTTCTGCGTGACAAGGGGATATGGTTACCTACAAAGAGATTTGCACAAGATCAGAATACTATATCACTCTGTGTACTCTGTCAAATGTTCTCAATCATAACATTCCTGCTGTGACGGGCACAGATGCTGGAATGGATAGCATTAACTTGGAGAGTGCTATCATGGAAAACTGTATTGTGCAGCGAGAGAAGCCGAATGGCATTATAGTCAACGACGTAGATGTCGAATAAAAAGAAAAAAAAAAAAAGAACTTCAGCATGATTGTTTTTAAAACATATTAAAAATGATTAAATTGATATGTGGATTTTCCCATGAAACTGAAGAAGCTCATAGTCAAACGTCTCACTCAATAAGCTGCAGGTACAGAAAACATTGAAA